GATGTCTTCAAACTTCCCTTTACCATGAGAAAGATAAAGTTATTGCAAGGAATGAGAATTGCAGCTCAGGCTTACATAAAATCTAAGTTTAGTGTTGGCTTAAGATATTTTTTAGTGAAACATTCAGAGTACTATCAAAAGCTATAAAAGATGCCCTCATTTGTGTGTGTGTGTGTGTGTGTGTGTGTGTGTGTCTGTATGTCTGTGTGTTTGTGTGTCTATGTGTGATTACTGGGCTTGAACTCAGGGACTGTGAATTGTCCTTTAGCTTTTCCTCTCAAGGCTAGCACTATATAACTGAAGCCACAGTTCTATTTCCAACTTTTGATGGTTAATGGGAAGATAAAAGTCTCACAGAATGTTTGGCACAGGTTGCCTTAGAATCACAATCCTCAGATCTGAGCTTCCTGATTAGCCAGGATTATAAACATGGGCTACCAGTATCTCATTTAGGATGATCACTTTTAAAATATGTTTTATTAGGAGGTGTTAAGTTTTGAGTCTCATCTAAACAACAAGATACTTGTATAAAACAGCTGTACAAGTTTTGATCTAGTTTACATTGGTGCAACTTAATATCTCTGATATTAGTAGACTTGCTTCAGTACCTGTGACTTAGGTTTCTGTGGAATATAGATATCATTGTAAAGTAATTATACAATAGGATTCATCATGTATTTGTGATCACTTTATAATAATATCCTAGAAAAATAGGACCAGGGATTTAGCTTAAAGGTAGAGTTCTTGCCAAGCACACATAAGGTCCTGAGTTTGACTTTTAGCACAGCAAAAAAGAGAAGTAGCTTCAAAGAATACTGTTTGTGTTTATGATTCTGGCCACTATTTTGAAAAAAAGATTTTTTTTGCTGATGGTAAAGGTATAAACATCGATTGCCATGTTATGCTGCAGTATTCATGTATGACTTCACAGAGATCCAATCAGAAAGCTGCATTTGCATCTGTATGTCTATATTTATTTGCAACTCCCTGCTAAGAAGTGCAAGCTCATGTGCTACAAGATTCTTGCTATCACATGCTAATTACTTTCTTGCACTCACTCTCCCAAACCACAATGAATCTTATTAGAGAAGCAAATCACTGCAAACTTCAAACAGCATGCATCTTTGAGATGCCACTATTAAAGGAAGCGCTATGATGGGAAATCTTTGATGTTATCAGCTATGATGGAAACTACACATTTGTATTTTCATAAATCCGGTAGATTGCAGCCTCTCCCCCACCCTTAAATAACCTGAAACCAATTTCAAGTTCCCAAATGCTCTTCAAAGCAGCCTGACTTGGAAGTGATGTTGATGGTATTTCAAATTTCAAGGAAGCTTTTCTGTTTGTTTCCATCTCAAGACTTCAAGCAGACTTGAAATTTCACTTTCAGAGAGAAAAAAAAGTAGGACCAACTTTTACCTAAACACTAAGCTGGGGTCTAATGAGCAAAATATTGTTATGTCACGAATTTACTTGTGTGTGTTACCACGTAGCTGAGTTTGAATAATGCAGCTGATTGTAGGGAATTCGAAGTTTGAGTGTTTAGACTCTTCATGTTGCGGTTCTTTCTTGTTCTGCGCTGTTGACCAAAGATTGGAATGTAAACTCTAAGCCAATATAAACTCTAGGCCATGTGACAAAACAAATGTACACAACTGTGATTCACCCATCTCCTCCTGAATGAGGTGTCTGTGAAGCTGAAGGCAAAATTCAGTGTGTGTTTTTAACTTCAGAGCCCACAAGAAGCCTGGACCACATAAGTCAGAACATTCATACTATGAATAGCTGCTGCTGTAGGAGAGTTGGGTCTGTGGCTTCTTAAAAGGCTTCAGACTTGTGGGCTAAAATATACAGTGGACCGAGTGTGGCTGCAGTGGCATTTAATTTGGTTTCCTGTAATTGCTTTTAAGTAAAAAGGGGGATGAAACCTGAGGTTATATCATCTGGGGATGCAAAATATTTGTATGTGGTTTTCATATCCTGAACCCGTTTGTTGCTGTTCTGCGTTTTAGAAAGGACCACTCTTGTTCGAAGGAAATATACACTGACTGTTTATCAGGCCTTTGGTGACTGTAAATTTCTGGTATGCAACTTAAAGGAAGAGTTTTGTTTCCAGTAACTGAATTTCTGCACGAGAAGGGAATATATAAACAAGTCACACAGGCAAAAGAACATTAAACACCAGGGGATAGGGGGAAAAGGTAAAAGGGAGGGAAAAAAGGAGACGGGAGTTAGAGGAATTGTACCCCCTCCTCCCACAGACATAGATCTCCAAATACTGAGGTGATGAGAAAAACTGCAATAGGGTAAAAAAAAGAGATAGGGCCTAAAAAAGAGAGATCAAAGAAGGACTACTTGCTAGTAATACTAGCAAAGATTCCAAACTTTGTTGTGAAAATTATTGTGATAATTGGATCTTAGCTAAAATAATATTTTCATTTTTCCCTAGAAGAGTGAGGAGTTGGGATATACCATTTGCTTATAAAATTTTATTCTGGATTTTTTTATGAGTCTAGAAGAGTTGTTCATTTTCACAAGTTTAAAATAACTTTAATATATTTCATAAACTTTGGACCAGACAATTGTCTCCTCTGAAATCTTGTTCTGCTTTAGAATTACAAAGTCCATTTTCCTAGGCTCCGGTGTGGGGCCTAGTAATTTCTATGGCCAAAATACCATCAGCACTTGGCATAAAATACCATTTATTTTCTCACGAGACAGTAGCTACTTCTGTTAATTTCCCAGGATATTCTTACTCAGCTGAACATATGTTAGAAAATGTTATGGTTTACCATGTTTTAGAATTTCCAGAAGGCATACTTCTGTCACCTACAATCAAACGTTTTTTTCTTTAAATATAACTTTATGAAGCTTGTATAAACTCTAAGGAAATGATATATATACTCATGTGTTTGCACAGCTATATATATATATGCACACTCATGTATCTATCTCAAGAGGTATATCTGACCATAATAAATATTATCTGAAAATACTTCATCAATGTCCATGACTATTAAGGAACAAAGCCAGAATCTTGTTAAACACTGTGATCAAAAAAGCCCCAATGTAACATGAATTAGAATTACTTGGAGGGACTGTTAACATTCCATGAGTTGATAACTCCAAACCGAAATTTCTTCCCTAAGGATTCTGGGGGCAGACTGAGTGCGCACATTTCCAATAGATCCCTGGGGATCGTTCTGAAACAGTTCTAGGAGCCATGTGTTGAGAACTGGTCTGTGAGGCTGAGCAATCTGAACTATTCCTGTCTCTACCATGGTCTCATGTCACTATTTCTTGTGTCCAGAGCTTACTGTTTTTCACTTGGATTCTCAGCTTCTAGTTTTCTTTCTTACTTCTTTCTATATTACTATCCCTCTCTCCAAACTAACTTACATTGAATCCTCCATGCTAAACTGAGTTTTCTTGCTATTTGCTCTTTCCCTTATGAATCTCCTTGGCAACACTGAACAACAGTATAACTCATTGTTAAAATCAGCCCTCTTCACAATGCATTGCTGACCTTAGCACAGTTCATGGAGAGTGATCATTATTCTGCTTTAGTTCCCAAGTGCCTACCACCATTATCTTTTCAAGTCACTAATATTAATTTTATTCAAAGAATAAGTGAATCTTTGATCATATAAAATAATATTTTTCGCAGTGAACTCCAAGAAATGGAAACAAAAGATTTTTGTTGTTGTTGCTGCTGTTTCTGTTGTCTTTGCCTTTTGTCTTGTTTGTTCATTTATCTGACTTTGGGAGGGTAAGAGAGGGGGGAAAGAAAAGGTGGGCAAATGGTGAACAAATATAGCAGTGGTACTCACTAGACACTATGTGGAAAATGAACTATACAACTTGTGGGTGGGGACAGGAGGAAAAATCTGGGAGAGAGTGAGGGAAAGAGTGATATGGTCCAGAAAGAAATGTAATTGTTACCTGACTTATGAAACTGTAACCCTCTACACATCACCTCTACAATAACAATAACAAACTATATTAAAAATAATAAGTAAGTAAATGGATAGAGTAGAAGGCAATTCACTTTATCATTCTTACTGTGTCTATACTTGGCCTCAAACAAATTCTCTTGTCTTCTTGGTTTTCTGCTAGTTCTCTTCATGGACATTTCATTCTGGAAATGTGTCTATTCAGTCTCCAGGAGAGCTGGCATTTGCCCACATAGATTACTCAGATCATGTCTCTTACTCAGTGGAAAAACGTACACTGAAAAACAAATCTCTGAAATAGCCACAATACCTTAAGATAAATATCCCTGAAATGATAATCCCATGTTTTTTTTTAATGTTTGTTATTCAGGATTGTATAATACTGTGAAATAAATTCCAGTTCTTTCAGTGTTGTAGTTGGAGGCATTTTATCTTTAACAGGACATTGCAAATACAGAGACACAGTTGGCTTTCATGTTATTAAGCATGGAAACATTGAAATCATATTTCTTTGAGTAGGATGCATACTAGAGGTTTGTCAACTGAGGCTGGCATTTATTTTAAGAAAAAAGTATGTGCTAGTACAATTGAAACACAACTGTTCATTGTTAAATTATCACTATGATGATTAGTTTATTTTCTCTTGTCCTATGTGAATAAGTAGAACAATGTAGCCATTATAAAGCTATTAACAGTGCCAGGCTATCTTAATTACAACCTATATAACTGAAGCAGAATCCTTAGAAGATGTGAAATAGAAGAATACATTTGAATATACTATATGGGGGAAACACTCATTATATAGAGTCCTAGGTCCACTTCACTTTCATCGTTAGCTGAATCTATAAGATTCGAAATAGCAAATCAAAGAATGAAAAAAAAATGGTTGAAGCAAAGTGAATGGAGCCAAAGGAAAGCCAGAGGATGAGAGACAAAGTGTTGATCTATGACATCCATAAGGATCATTTAGGGGAAAACACATGGCGTGTTTTGTGGTTCTCAGTACAAGTCTTCTCTTGACTGAGTCTTCCTTCTTCTCCTCAGGTCTCATTGTGCGGGAAGTGAGCATTGAGATTTCAAGGCAGCAAGTAGAAGAACTCTTTGGGCCCGAAGACTATTGGTGCCAGTGTGTGGCCTGGAGCTCTGCGGGCACCACAAAGAGCCGGAAGGCCTACGTGCGCATTGCCTGTGAGTCGCTGCCCATGCACAACTTGGGTTCAGGACCTGATGCAAATGTAGGAAAGATTAAGAGTGGGGTGGATCTGCCATCAAAAATTTAAACAAACAACAACCCTGGTCAAATTTCCTGGGTAAAGACTTTTCCCCGCATTCAAGCTACCTATTCCCTTTCCGTCACTTTTAAGACACTGAGTGTTTTCCTCTAAGAACTTGAAAGAACCAATGCTTCTTCCAAAACAATTGCATCCCCTCACCCCACAAATTTGCTGGCAATCAGTACAGGGGAGAAACAAGCATATTCCTTTCTTGAGTTGAGTCTGCCAGTCTCCTAGGATAATGGTGAATAGTGGTCCCACTGGAAACAGAGATATCTGAGGTCAAGATTCTCTGTTTGCTTTGGAACTGTTCTAGTGGTTGGAACACACCAGGTCCTGTTTTCTCAAGTGCCTCACAGTACAAAGAGTGTATGAGGTGGGGTGGGGTGGGGAAGTTTGTAATCCAATCAGTGTCAGTACATGTTTTGGACAAAGTGACAGATGTTTGTTCATTGACAGCCTTCTCCAAGCCCTTGATGGGCTCATTTGTACATGATCTCCAAGAAGGATAAGTTTTCTGCTCTTACACAATCTTTTGAGTGAGCACTGTTCACCTCCGGAAGAAGAGAGTCCCTCCCACCCATCCTAGGGTTCCATGTTGAGAAAGTTGCTCATGTAAGAGGCCACAACTGAAATTCAGGTGTTTTATTCTGTGAATCTCTTCCCATTTCTATATTTCACTAAGTTCCATTTTGTAATTAACACCCTCTCTACCATGTCACTGAGTCTCAGTTCTGACTCAGAAACAGCCCCGAATTTCCACTTACCTCTCACATCTCTTCTCCTTCCTCTAGATTGAACAATCACAAACCCTTCCTAGGCCCCATGGCTCAAGTCTTTTCTCTGTTCATTTCTTCCACCATGCTATCACCACTGATGTCTTCCTAATAATAGAGGTCTTATTTCCCTGCCACCATCATTTCCCACATCACAGAGACTTGTGGTATTAAAATCAAAATTCCTTAACAAAATACCAGACACAGAGCAGCTTAAACCAACAAAAATTGCTTCCTTGTGGCTTTGAAAGCTAGAAGTCCAACATCAAGATTTCAGCCAACTTGGGTTTTCCAGTGGCTTTGCTCCATGGCTTGCAGATGGAACCTTCTCATTAAATCTCATGCCCTCTTCCCCTGTGCACACATCTCCAGTGTTTGTGCATCCAAATTTCCTTTTCTCATAAGGACATGCATCAAATTGGGTGAGAGCCTGTCCTAACAACCTCATTTTAAATGAGTTACCTCTTTAACTGTCTTATTCCCAAATATAGCCACAGCCGGAAGTACTGAGGGTTAGTGATTCAACATAAGAATTGAGGGAAGGAGGTAGGCACTGGTAGCTCGGGCCTATAATTCTAGCGACGCAGGAGGCTGAGATCTGAGGATCAAGGTTCAAAGCCAACCCAGGCAGGAAAGTCTGTGATACTCTTATCTCAAAGCAATGACCAAAAAGCCAGAAGCGGAACTGTGGTTCGAGTAGTAGAATACTAACCTACAGCAAGAGTTCAGGGACAGCACCCAGGCCCTGAGTTCAAGTCCCAAGGAAAAAAAAGAGTTGTTGAGGAAAAGGATAAAGCTCAGCTTTTATCAACTACATTTCATTGTCTACATGTCCAACCCGTGTTTCCAGTTATGGCCACTAAAGATTTCTAAATGCTGGATTGCCTAAGTTAGAAATATTCTCATTCCCAGGTCTCTCAACTATTGTTATTGCCTAAGGGTTTCACCTGTGCCTGACTTTCCTTCATAATTATAAAAAAAACAAACAATGAGTGTTTATTCTGTTCTTGGACAGTGTGTTGAGTATAGAGTCTAGATGCTAGTGAAGAAAGTCCAACTCTCATTATAAATCATATACGTCATTATAAATAATGATTAAGTATGAGCACACTGTGTTCTGAAGTAAAACAAAGTGGAAAAATGGAATCTTTGATAAGAGGGAGAGTGGTCAAGGGAAGATTTCCTGAGGAAGCTGACAACTGAATCCATCTACAAAGCGGGTCAGATAGAATAAAAGAACAAGAGTTTGTATTATGAGATGTTTAGGAAGAGAGGTAAAGAAGGGTCAATCATTTGAGCCTTTTGCAGAACCTGAGCTCTTGGAAGGATTTCTATGAGATGTTCAAATCATTCCTTCCATAGGGATGCAGGATAGTATTTGTATTAATTTTTGGAGAGTTTGTCCATCCTTCTAACACAATGCTTGGCCAATTTGGGCCATATTAATTTTATTGCAATGTTGTGTCTCATGCCAGTCAGTTCTTTGAGAGCTCAGATTCCATGTTAAATAACTTTCTATCTTTGCAGAGCTTAGGAGGCTAGAACATCCTAGATGATGAGTTAAGATTTTTGATAAATAATTCTGTGTTGTTTATTATTAAAATTGCTATTAAAAATCTTTGTTCTCTTTAAGTGGATTCTCTGTGAAATCGTTAAGAGGAGAGAGCATCATGCAGGAAGAGTTAACTTCAGATGATTACCCCTTAAGATTTGGGGATGTTAGATGGAGACAGGTTGGGGCACAGTAGGGTGGGGAAGGGGGATTGAACTGTAGTGAGAATGCAACAAAGGACAAGTTTAGGAGGCCTGGAGTTTGAACAGTGTTTCAGTGTTGTTCCACCTGGAGGCTCAGGAGATGAACAGGCTTTTATTCTGGCACATGGACTAGATGATGGATGTAGACTCCTTTCATCTCTCCCCACCAGCCTGTGTGCTCCGGATCAAGGCAGCCTTTCTTCATCCAAGGGCAATTCCAGGAAAGAGGAGACAGCCTTCCAGCTTTGCCAAAACATAGGATCAGGCCTCAAGGAAACCTCCATAGTCTATTATCTCATCCACTAAAATCCTTCTGTCACAGATCATGAGACTCTGTGTTCTTATTATTAAGAAAGATAACATCACTCATCTTTTAAAAATGTATTGGTCAAAGTTTTAAAGGAATTCAAAATCACCTTTAAATGATAAGGTGAAGGGATATGGTTAGAATATTTCCCTTTATGGTTCATTTCTATGTATTCATTAATATCAGGTAAAATAAATATTTGAAACTGCAGTCTACCCACAGTGCAAAATTGACTTGCCTGAAGCAAAAGTTAAGGGTGGCATAGTTCCAAACCATGGATTCCTAGTTAATACATGTTCAGTTATCATTCATTTTTAGAAAAGATTGTGGTGCTGATTTCATGTATTATATATATATATAATATGTGTGTATATATATATCCTTATTCTAAAATTATATATATATATATAAATTATATATATAACCCCCAAAATTATATATATATATAACCCCATATTTCTTTTTAATTTTATATTCTATAAATGCTTACATTTAATTTATGGCTTTTAAACACAGCTTGATACTTTCTTTTTTTAATTTATATATTTTTATTGTAAAGATACTGGTCAGAAGGTTTACAGTTACATGAGTAAGGTAATGAGTCCATTTCCCATCGAGCATTGTTACCCCCTCCTTTGTTTTTGCCCTACCATCCCTTTCCTCCCAACCACTCCAACTCCTCCCTCCCCCCCATTGTAAATTTCAGCATAGTGTCTTGTACATCTCATGGTTACAATGGGTCAACCTGTATCCTTGTTTCAGCAATTTGTTATTTCCCTTCTCCTCCCCAAATTAGAAAAATGTATATACAAGATTCAGGGCACCAGAATCAAATACAGTGAAAATAGGGGTTATACCATGGGGGAAGAACATACAAAAGAAACAAAAAAATCACATAGTACATTATAAATACATTATAAACAATAGCAAGAAAGATAAAACCACTCGTGTCCCTATTTTGGGGTTCATTTTGCTTAGCATCATCTTATATGGTCATATATACATAGTTTTTGACCTTCTGTTTGTCCTAGACATATACTAGTTATTGCAAATAAGGGAAACCATGGGACCTATGTTTCTTTAGGCCGGGCTTACAATACTTCCAAAGGCTATTTACAAATTCAGTGTGTTAACCTATCAATAGTCCAACCTCATTCTTCAATGAAATAGAAGAAGCAACCCAAAAATTCATATGGAACAATAAAAGACCCCAAACAGCAAAAAACAATCTTTAGCAGAAAGATATTTCCAAATAATAAGAAAATCACCATACCTTTGTCCCTCAAGGGTTTACCTATAACTCATGATTCACTGAACTCACATATGTGTGATCCGGAACACCATCCTGCGTGTAAAGATTGGTTCTTGTTGATGCATATTGTGATGCAATTGTTTGTTTAAAAAAAGACTACCTTTCACATTCTGCCAAGGCCTGGGCCCTAGATTTTCTAGTCTTCCCCCATCAAATGAACTGTGTACTCTTATCTAGTAATACCTGACAGATAGCTCTCATGTAAACTGCAATTAAAGTGTAAGTTTGTTGCAGATGAAGTTAACCAGAAAGCAAAGGTTGCATGAACTGCAATTCCATCACATCTAATTTACCAATACACATGAGATGAGCTCCGTGGGGCCATTGTTCTATCATGAAAAAACTTTATTTTCAGAAGTTTATAAAGCAGACATGAATATTGATTATTAATGACCTACACATTCAAACTACATGAAAGAGAACAACACGTTTCTAAGATAAGGAGGGTAGAAGAAGAGAGTTGGACTTTAGCCAGAAGTAAGCTGAGACATAATATGCTCGCTCTAAAATCATGTATATCTACTATAGGGCAGACGATTCCCAGCAGAACCCTGTTTTCTTTTGTTTAGTTTTAGTACTGGTCCTGGGGCTTGAATTCAGAGCCTGGGCACTGTCCCTAAGCTTTTTTGCTTAAGGCCAACTCTCTAACCCTTGTGCCACAGCTCCACTTCTGGCTTTTGGGGGGGGGTGTGCTTAATTGGAGATAAGAGTGTTATGAACTTAATGGCCCAGGCTAGCTTCTAATATCAATCCTCAGATATCAG